GGGGGGGGGGGGGGGGGAGGGGGGGGTTTGGGTCGGGCACCGCGGCGCGGAGGGGGGGGTTCAGACCCTCCGCCCCTCCGTGCCCCGCGGCCGCGCATGGCCCCGTGTAACCCCGCGGGGGCGGCCGCGGGCCCGGCAGCCGCCGCCTCCTCCGAGGGCAGGGAGGAAGCGGCCCTTCTCCTCCCCGAGATAAGCGCGATTTGCATTTTAAATGACTCGGAGCACGCCCCTAACACACGCGATGGGACCGGAAAGTTTGTCCTCCGCGCATCTCCCAGGAAATAGAGACGTGCGCGCGTTTGTGCGTCTCTAAATCCGACAGAGAGGAGCGGCGATCGGCCCGGCTGGTTTGTTTTGAACAGCATCGAGGTTTCTGGTCTCATCTGGCGTGTCCGTGTTGCCGTCTATTATTATCCCATCCATCTCCTCCCGTGTCCCGACCCCTTCCTGCGCCGCTCTCCCCGCTGTCCGGCCGCACGAAATGCCTCCCGCGTCAGGCGCGGCTCCGGGGGTCCGCAGGTGGAGCTTTCTCCTCCTTTTTCCCGTGCTTGTGCTGAGAGCAGGTGATGGGAGAGGGGATGAAAGAGGAAGCGAAGCCGGTCAGGGTTGCTCTGCAATCCGTCGGTGCTCGGCATCTCCTGGTTGCCTCCGTGTGGGGTCTCTCTGGAAGGACGTTTGGCTTCTGAATGTCGGTGGTGCAGCTCTTCCATTCCTCCCATCTCTCATCGAACTGCATGCGAGGGAGTGGTTTCATTCACCGCTGTTTTTGGAGGGAGGTAAAGGATGCTGACATCCACATGCTGCTGCCGAGGTTCATCTGGACGCTTCGATTTGGTGGCAGGAATGGTTTCAAATTGTGGCACGTGAGGCTGCGTGCTTCTGGGCCCCACGGCCACGGAGATGGATGTGTTGGCTGCTAACAGCAGGCAGGTCGTGTTGATTTGGTAGAGCTGGAGCGTGTTGGAAGAGCCCCTGGGAGAGCACTGCTGGTGTGGTTGGAAAGCACAGCCGTGTAGTTAGGATGTAGCAGCTCATGGGGAGCAGAGCAGTGCGCTGTGGCTGCTCACAACACCTTCAGTCTGCGCCCCAAGCACGGCAGCACTGCGGTGTTTTGCTGGGCTTCAGGTTCCTAAAGAGAAGCAAACCATTGTGGGAGTTCATCTCATCTCCTTCCCCATGGCCACACGCTGTGTTTGACGCCTGAATAGCTGCAGAACCAAAGCAGGGCTCAGTGAGGAACCCCCTCTCAGCACAGAGCTGAATTAAAAACCACCAGTACCGCTTGTGTGACAACGCCACCACATCCCTCCAGCCAAAAAAAAAAAGAAGAAATAATTCAAGACCTTAACAAAAATTGGAAACGAAATCTCCAAGAAGAACATTTGCAGATGACGTTTTCAGCTCTGCCTTATTGACAGCCTGCTTTTCTCCTTGTTTTCTTCCCCGTTTTCCTTTTGGAAGCAGCGGGCACAGAAGCTCATGCTGGCTCCAGCTGAGTGCTTGCTGTTGGCCCTGAGCCTGTTGCTAAAGATGGACCCTCAGCAGGCTCCTCTGTCATTGCTTTCATGTAGTTTCTATTTCCTTGTGTCTGTGCCTTGGCTCATCTTGCAGTCGGCTCTCTCAGTTTAACTCCAGCGTTGCATTCGTTTTCCTGGCTGAAGTAGAATAAAAGACATTGGAGAGATGGAGAGAAGCTGCTGCGGGTCGTGGCTGCTCCTTTCCCCGGGGACAACACCGGATTGCTTCCAGCAGGATATTTTCAGATGCTTTGTCCAACCTAGTTTCAAATGTCTCGAGTGGCCGGGATTCCATTCCAGCTGCCAGCTCGCATCTGAAAGTGGAATACAGGAGATAGAATTTGGTCTTTCCTGGGAGAATTCCCCCACCTGGACACACACAGCTTTGTTTCTTACCCCTATCTTTACCAGCTCTGTTGCTATAAACCCACCTGTGCGGTGCTCAGGTTCCCTCAAGGCCTCAACAGAGAGCATCCATGGGCAGACAGAGGGAGAAGGTGAAGGGCTTCAAGCAGCATGGCCCTGTGGGACGAGGAGATGAATGTTAGAGGTGTGGGAGCTGCAGCTTGCAGGGGGAAACCTCTGAGACAATCCATAGTGTGCAAAGCAAGAGGGGCACCTGATGCAGCAGGGTGAGGAAGCAGTTTTGTTGGGAGATGGAGTTAGCACAGCCTGTTCCTGGGGTGCTCCTGAATACCCGAATTTGGTGCTCTTCCCTTCACCGTGCTGAGATCATATCTTAATTATGGTGAGGGCGCTTAGCAACCATCTATGGGGCAGCGTTAGATTCAGTGTTAGATCCAGATCGCAGGCGATGCTTGCAAAGTTAAGGGGTAAGAATTGACCCCATTTGTGTTCATTGGGCAGAACTGGTCCCTGTCTCTGAAGTGCTGCATTCCCACTCAGGGCAGATTCTCACTGGAATGCTTCACTCTGGGTGTGATCTCGTTGCATCACTGTGTCATGCTGGAGCTCTCACTGTGGGCTGCCTGCTGTTGTTGGGTGTGGAAACGAGGAAGGGGAGGAGAATGCTGCTCAAGTGTAATTCTTGGTTCTGTTACCCACTTCTGACTGATAAGACCCGATTTGGTCCATTCAAAGGTGGTCAGATGAATGTTTCTGCTTCCCTTGCAGCTTGCTATGGGATTGTCCAGGTTCCTACTGGACCGTGGTTCTGTCGGAAATGTGAATCTCAAGAGAGAGCCGCCAGGGTGGTGAGTACAGAACCCACGTGTTCCTATAGGGAGCAGATTGGGGCCCTTCACGCCGCTGCCCTGCCCGAGGGATCCCAGCTCTGCCCATACCCTACAGCGTGACCTTAAGCACAGAATTCACCCCTCGCCTTCCCGAGAGCCCAATTCTCTTTCCAAATCTTTCCCTTCGTTTCTTGTTTGTGCAATAGGAGGAATCCTCTCGGAGGGTTCTCTAAACCGTTTCAGCGGGAGCGCTGCCAAAGGAGCTCGTAAGCAAACTGACAGCAGGAAAATCTGGAGACCTCGAGCTTAACGGTGTGCTTGTGAAAGGCTGTGGCTCTTGTGTGCAGAAAGTTTTGCAGTGGTGGAGAGTTGTCATCACCTGAGACACTGCTGCGAGGGCAATGGTCTCCTGCATGAAGGGTTTGTTGCATAGAGGAAGGAAATGCCAGGATGCTGGACCAGGGCTTCATTTCTGCCTAAGCAGCAATTTAGCTGCATGGAACGCTTTGCAAATGTTCTTAATTAATCCTGATGGGGCAGAGAAGTGGAACCCATCGGGCCAGGCGTGCCCCTGAGGTCTGTCTGTGGGGCGGTTATTTGTGTGGGCTGTGAGGTTATAGCACAGCAGCTCCTTGCAGTGCCTGCCCGTGTGAGCCCTCATCAGATGGGGCTGCAGCAGCTGCTGCTGGGGGCCTGGATGCAGATCTGTCAGCTGTACTGGAGCCATTGCCTCTGCTCTGCCCTAAGTGCGAGACAGTTCTGTGCTTCACTTCCTTCAGAGTGGGTTTAGATTAAAGCCTGGCCTTTCTCAAACACAGAAGAGCTCAGCTGGGATGGTCAGCACTGGTGGATGCTCACGCTGCCTTCTGAGCTGGTTCAGCTCATTTGTGGGTGAAGCCAGCGGAGGGGATCTCTACAGATGTGTGCTCCATCCTCGCTGGGCTCTGCTCACTGCAGGACAGCAGTGTGATCTGCCCCACGGATGGGCAAAGAACTTGGCAAGGATGGCTGGATGGGGAACAAAGGCACCTGTGCCCTGCGTCCTGTATCACAGTAACTCATTCCTCATTGGAAACGGGAGTGTAAACAAGACCAGACTTTCAGACCTGAGCTCTCCTCCCTTTGTGAGACGCCGCTTTTATGTGTGGCAGTAAAGAGGATCAAATGTGTCTCTGAGCAGCTTTACATCCTGCAGATCGTTTGAGAGCACAGAAAGGAATTTGGGTTTCGTGAGCCTCCTTCCTCCTCCCTCTCCCAGGTAAAGAGAAGCCCAGTGGAGCAGCAATGCAACCCATAGTAGTGCACACTGCTCCTCCTCACCTGCGCTCATCACAAGGGTTCCCACTTTCCTCTCGTGCTTCAGGCACTTCCAACTGCCTCCAAGGTGTCAAACAAACATCACCCCCACGGGTGGCTGCTCATTTAGCTCACCCTCACTGAAATCTGTTGGACACTGGTGGGCTTCAGTCATGCCCTTCCATCCTGCAGCCTTCAGCCCTGCTGCTCCGATCACCGAGCGGTGATCATCTTCCTTCCCAAAGCAGAGCTGCGGGCAACTTCCCATCCAAATCTTTCACCTTTCCGGTCGTAGCAACAGATGTGCAAATGGGTAAATGCATGAAAAGAATCTTCTTTGATGCAGTGTGATCAGAGTGAGGGAAATGAGTCGGGTCCCGGGCAATGCTCACAGTGCTGCTGCGGTGCCGTGGTGCAGCGCTGCCCTGGGTATCGCTGCATCTCTGCTGCAGTGCTGCCTGCCTGCACACACTGCTCTCAGAGGGACGCTGCTTTCTGAGAGCAAAACCCACTCCCGGCAGCGGGACGAATTGAGATTTGTGTTTCTTTCGTTGCAAACTCCTTTGCAAAACAGCAGCGTCTTTCTTCTCTGTCTGCCTCCGTAGATACAGCTTGTAAGCAGCTTTGAGGTTCCACCACAAGCGTGTGCGTTGGCTAAATATTGACGTTTCTGCTTTGAAAGCAAGATAGGAAGGTGCAAAGGATGCTGCCCTCCTTGAGAACTTTGCGGTGTCTGCGTCTGTGCTTTAGGGGAGGTCCGTCTCTTTGGTTTTGGAAGGAGCTCAGTGCCCTGACCGCAGTGGGATGCTCCCATGGCGCCGTCCCTGAGTCCACAGCCCTGGGGGAGGAGGGGTCAGGAGCTCCAACCTTGCTTTTAATCAACCAACTCCGCTCTTTTCCCAAAGAATTCAAGTAAAAACCCCGAAGGCTGCACAGGTTGAGCGAAAGGAGGAGGTGCCGTTAATCCCTGCCCGCATCCCGGCTCAGATGTGCGGGTCCCTAAAGGATGCAGCCGATGCTTTGTGCTTACCGTAAGCAGCTCAAGGCCCATCCACTTTGTAATCAAATTGTCTGGCGAGCCCGGTGAGCTGCGATGGCCAGAGGGCACTCATGTGAGGGATCATGTGAAGGCTTTAGCTGTCATTTAGAGGCAGGGCTATTAAAAGTCCTGTGTGGGGCCGATGGAGCTGTTAACCCCTCTTGTTACAATCAGAGCTTTGCTAATCGCGTGGTGGGAGAGCCGCTTTGATCCGAGGGGTGGAGGGGAGAGCGGAGGGGCCTTTTCAAGTGCAAATTTCTTATTACAGTGTCTCAGTTCACCCGGTTGTTTTTTCTGTCTTGGCTTTCCATGCTAATTGTGAGAGCCTCTCCGTCAGTCTGGACCCAAGCAGCAGCAATGCGAACCGTGTATTCCAAGCAAAGTTGCAGGGAAAGCGAGGTGGGCAGTGGTTTTCGTCCCTTCATCACTTATTTGTGCCGTTGTTGTGGGGAGTTGAGAGCTGGGATGAGCCTCCCTGCTGCCCACAGCACTGCGGGCCCACTGGTTTGTGTCTGAATGTCAGCAGGAGGAGCACTGAGCTCCATGAGGATGCCCACCTCTATGGAAGGTCTTCAAGGATGTATGAGGATGCCCACCCTTGTGGAGGGTCTTTGGGGGTGTGTGAGGATGCCCACATTCGTGGGACGTGCTATTATTCTTTTTTTTCCCACAAATCTGGTATTTCTGCTAGGGAAGGAGAAGGGCTGGGAGAGGGACCCCTGTGTGTGCCAGCGTGTCCCCAAACCTCCCCAGTGCACACCTGCATATGGAAACTGAGGATCCAGAGCAGACAGCAGTGAGCAGTGCTGGGCAATCCATGGCTCCCAGTGCCCAGCTGTTGGAAATGATACAACAGCCCCAGTCATCAGACTGGCTGGAACAAAAAAATAAAGCAAAACAAGAGAGAAAGGAAGAAAGGAAAGAGGCAAAGATAGATCATGGCTCCTGCTTATTTGCCTTCTGCTCTCTGAGTCACGGTTTTCAGTTTTACTTCACGACCGCAAGGACCAAAACTTCTTTTTAAAAAGCCCCATGAAAGTCAAGAGCTGCCTGTGGCCCCCGGGTTGGGGCTTAAACGTGTCCATATCACACAGTCTGACACAGCTCAGTGTCTTTTTGTACCCACACCGCTCTCAACCCTTCTTCCACTTCCTCTCCTTGAAAGCAGCCCCTGTCTTTTAGAAGCACATTCTAAACCAAGCACCCTTCTCCCAGCCCCGTGCCCTGGGCGGGGGGCTCAGATTAAACTTGTTGTTTCTGCTTCATTTCAAGAGATGTGAGCTGTGTCCCCACAAAGATGGAGCCCTGAAACGGACTGACAACGGAGGTGAGTAGCTCTGTGCAGGGCACTGGGGTCCCAGCAGCTCTCCTGGCTGCAAAGCAGCTCTCCTTTGAGCCACATCACCAGCAAGATGAAGCTGGAGGCCCAAAGGATGAGAGCATTCTGCCCTGAGAAATCAGTTTTCAGAAAGGCTTTCATACCTGCCTGCCGTGCACCTTGATAGTGCTGAGGGAGGTCTTTATTCTGATGGAGAATAATATGCAGAGAGGAAGCTCTGAGCCCTGCGTGTGTTTTGCAGTAGTGTCTGCTAGAAGAACCTTAAAGCAATGGCATCCCCATGTCGGGGGATTGCTTTGTAATAGCATAGCATCTTCCTACTGTCATTTGGGCAGCTCTGTGCAGGCAGGCACAGCAGGTGTTACACATGTGTCACTGTACACACACAGCCTGAGTGCTTTGAGTGCTGTGTGGTTCTGTAACCATAGAGCCCAGCTCTGCCCATCCGAGTGAGTCCACCCTCATTCTAACCAATTTCTGTCAGTGCAGTCAGCGTACCAGCATGGATCAACCCCCAAAGGCTCCTGACCTTCAAGCTTTCTCAGTTCTGTCCCGACCAGATGGAATTTCAGCTTACACATCTGATTTGGGAAGTGTCTTGGTGGCTTCAGATTGTAATCTCGCTTGGCTTGGTGAAAAAGAGCCTTCTTCAGCCACTGATAGCAGCCAATAAAGGGAGCTTTGTTCCCGCTGGCGTGGGACTGCATGTCAGACCCCCCCCATCAGCATCACTTTCTGCTGGGATGCTGTCCACGGCTCTGGTTAGATCTGCAGCACTGGGTTATGAGTCCTCAGGGTGCTTTGAAGGGCACTGAGTGCTGCACGGTGCTTTTCCCCAAAGAAACCTCTGCGTTCTCCTTTGTGCCTGCCTATCTTTCTCCCACAAAGGCTCTGATTCCTAACCAAGTTACAACAAGCACCGTTTCAAATCTAACATCTAACTCAAGTTGGCTTCCTTCCTAATGCTCTCTTCCTTCTTTCCCTGCCGTGCCTGACTGCAGCCCTATGTGAGCAGAGGGCTCTTCTGGGCTGCAGCACGTTTACCACAGCTCTGCCTTTGCTTCCCCAGGCTGGGCCCACGTTGTGTGTGCTCTGTACATCCCCGAGGTGCAGTTTGCCAACGTGCTGACCATGGAGCCCATCGTCCTGCAGTACGTTCCGCACGACCGCTTCAACAAGGTGAGCCCTCCTTGCTCCCTCCCTGCCCCAAGCATGCTCACCCTGCCTTGCTTCGTGGCTTCTTTTAGTCCTCCGTGTCTCCTGTTGAACCTCTGGGTACTGAGATCTCTTTAAAAAGAACTCCCAAAGCAAATCCTTCTTGCAAGCAAGGTTTGATCCCCTCTTTCCCTCTCCCCCAACGCGGTCACCTGCACAACCTCCCAGCTCCTCCAAGCTGTGTGTTTATTTTGATCAAATAACCTGTTTTGATCAAATGCATTCATTACTGGGGGCTGAAGAAGGGGATGCGTGAGTTGCGTACGTGGCACGGAGAAACAACCGCAGCTGCCATCACAGGAGGGAGATGATACGAGGCCTGAGCTCCTGAAAGCTTTGCCTCCTGGAGAACAGCGGGAGCAAAGCAGCCTGCCTCTCTGAGAGCTTCCTTTTCCTTTTATTGCAGACCTGCTACATCTGTGAGGAGCAGGGCAGGGAGAGCAAGGCAGCTTCTGGAGCCTGCATGGCGTGCAACCGGCACGGCTGTCGGCAAGCTTTCCATGTCACCTGGTGAGCTCCATCCACTCTGCATCAATCCCTGCTGCTGGTTTTGCTGCTGTGGCTTTGGGGCTGCAGCACACAGTGGTGTAAGGTGTGGGGCAAATCCCCCCCGTGTGTGTTCTGTGTGAGGGATATCTCATCCGTGCTCTGTTTGCAAGGGGAACTTCCCCAGGAAGGCTGAGGTTTCAGCAAAGCCTTCCCCGGTGAGAATGAGGGCTGGGGATTTCCCTAGGACTGTGTGGAATCTAAGGAGAGAAGGGATGAGTCACGAGCCAGGAATGTTCCTTTTCCAGCACAGTATCATCTAGATGAGGTGATATTAAGGGCTGATATCCTCGTGTACCCCTGCAGCCTGGAAGCAGCATGGCCCATCAGCACAACGAGGGGATTCCCAGCTCTGTGCAGATTCCTTCCTCCTCGTGTGTCTTCTGCTGGAACTGCTGCTGCTGCCTTAAGGAAAGCCAAAATTGCTCAGCAGTTTGGTAGAAAAGCGGTGGCAATTTGAACAGTCTTAATATGGATTTTAAACAGCCTGAACTCTGCTTCCCCAAAAACTATTAGCCAAACAGCATGGGAGGATTCACGACCTTCCCTGGGTATCCTGAGGTGTTGTTTGCCCATTTATGAGATGCGACATCAAGCTGTGTGCAATTGTTGCTATCCTCCTCCTGATTGCATGTATTCCAGTGCCCAGATGGCCGGCCTCTTGTGTGAGGAAGAAGTCCTGGAAGTTGACAATGTCAAGTATTGTGGCTACTGCAAGTACCACTTCAATAAGATGGTGAGTTTCCTCATCCTTCCAGTGGGGATTATCTTCATCCTGCTTTTGGCTTCCCTGATCCCACCTGTGTGGCTGTAAAAACGATCCCAAGATGTCCAAGGGATGTTTTCTCTTAGAAGGAGAGTGCTGAAGTGCTGTGCTTGGTGCAAGGGATGGCAGGAGATGGGACAGGAGAGCAGGGAGTTTGCATGCAGCCTGAGCAGGAGGTGTGACAGAACAGCCCGAGCTTCTGCCGTAGGACAGGGAGAATCCAGAAGGGATGTGGAGTCATTTGAGGGGTATTTGAGGCAAAGGATTTCCCCTATTAATTACAGGAGTGAGAGGCATCGTTTGCAGACACCTGCTCTCCCCCTCCAGCAAAAAGGAAACCTGACCTCTCCATAGTGTGTGTCTCTGTGGCTCTTTGTTGCCTGCTTTGCCCACTTCCCTCCCTTCTTATCAGTGCTATCACACACTGACTGCTGTCTCGAGCTTCCCCTCCAAGCTGGAGGACCCCCTCCCCTGCCCTGCAGGTACCCTCAGTATTTGATGTGATGCAGCTCAAATCTGGGATGAACAGCAATATTCCAGAGCCTGGGCAGCCTTCCCCACAGCCCCACACAAGACCAAGGACTGCATGCTGTGTCTCAGGAGGGTTGATTTGTCCAAGCAGCGCTGCTGCTTCCATTTCTCTGATCTGCAGGATGGTGGTTTCCATGTTAGGAGCAGGGGTATCTGATGCAGATGGAATTCAGTCCCGCGTGTTGTGAACCATTCACTCATTGCTCAATGAAAGCTGGGCTCTATAAAACTGTTCCCTCTCTCTGTTCCTGACCCCCACCCCTGCTTTCCGTGACTCCCCTTCCCCGCTGACCCCAGAAGACCTCACGGCACTCTGCAGGCAGCTCCTTCATTGCTGGGAGGAGGAGCAGATCCACGTCCCCCACCCAGGAGAAGCACGTGTCCCACCACGAAAGGCCAAAGAAGGTGAGATGTGTGTGCAGAGCTCTCAGTCCTGAGGCAGAGCCATGGAGGTGAGGAGGGGAAGAGAGCGCAGGGAGCAGGGATGGATCCTCAGGGAGGCTCTGCAAAGAGATCTGAACTGTGGCTGTGTTTTATGATGGGAACATGTGCATGCAAGTAGAGCATGGGGAATGGATGCCTACCTGTGCGACCTGCTGTAGGGAACCTGCTTTGGCAGGGGGGTTGGACACGATGATCTCTGGAGGTCCCTTCCAACCCCTACAATTCTGTGATTCTGTAATGGAGAGCCAGGTTGTGTGTTTGGATTATAGAGGTGTCCTGGCAGAGCACACCCATGAAATGCACAGCTTTCCCATCTCTGTGTTACGGCACACTGACGCCGTGCTGTGGGTTCCATCTGCAGAGCTGATCCCTGGGAGTACTTTGAGCTGTGAGGTTAAACACAAGAGCTTGATAAACTGGGGGTCATTATCCTGATCCCAACTTTTAGGGCACTGATGAATAAACTACGCTTTGGCCAGCAGCTTAATTGCCAGCAGCAGCACCGCTTCCTATGACATAGGCAGTGCTTTGTGCCACCTGCTTCAAGTCCACCCCTGAAAAGAACTTACATTTGCTAAACAAGTATTTAGAAGAGCACTGCGTGCCAGATCTGATGAGTGCCAGCGTTGTTTGTTTAACTGTGCTGGTTAAGGTGTACTCATCAAAACTGCTGCAAGGTTACAGGCCATGTTAACAGCACGCCAGGGTTCATAATTAACCAACTGAGCCACGTGATGAAGGTTTGTATTTCAAGGAGAAACAGCAGTGAGCACAGAGGGCAGAATCCCAGCAGAGCTCTGGCTTTCCCCCTTTGCACCCCAAAACAGGGGTGTAGAACCTGCAGTGGCAATAACACGGGAGGGAATGCATTCCGTACTGTCAGTTTTTAATCCTGCATGGGCCAGGCTGTGGCTTTTGTTTGGAAGAACCCAGAATTATTGCAACAAATGACCTCTGCGTGTTTTTTTGCTGTGGTCAAAAGCCAAATTACGCCGTTGTGATGTGGTGACCCGATGGAAATGGCAGCGTGGGTTTTCTGAGCCCTGCCCTCAGCGTGGGGCTGCCTGCTTGTTTTCATGTGCGTGCTCTCCCCTTGTTGCAGTAGGCATCCTCAGCATGAATAAATGATGCTGAGTGGGTAATCACGGTGACCCACATCCAGCAGCAGCCCTTGGGTTGTGTGGCCGGAGCCTGGTGGATCCCAGCCCAGTTTCCAGGCTTTCAGAAGCCATGTGGCCATGGTGAATCCCTGCTGGCACCCTGCTGGCAGGCTCAGCTGAGAGCCCATAAGCTGTGTGGGCAGGAAAGCCGTCTCCCTCTTTATTTACAGAGGTTATCCTTCAATATCCAGCTTGAAACGCTGCCCACCGTGCCCATGAGGTGCTTGGGAAGCTTGCCCAAACCTACCTGATATGTGTGCAAACAAGGCAAGCCTCGCTTCCCAGGTCTGCACGTACCCAGTGACACCGGGTCAGTAAATTTCCCACTGGTGACAAGGCTCAAACATATTGGGAGTGTTTACTCCTCGTGTGTGTGCTCAGCTGCTGGGAGGGGAGGAGGAAGGAGAAAGAGCATCTGTGCATGGGCCGGGAGGTTGGCACAGGGCGAAGCGCTGCTCTGGAACGCACTATTTTTAGGCAGGAGCAGTTGGGGGGGGGGGGGGGGGGGGGGGGGGAGGGCAGGGCGGGGTGATGGGCTGGGATGAGAGCTGGCAGTGCAAAGCTGGGGGCTGGCAGAGCTTTGGTGTGCTTGCACAGCTCTGGCTGGGTGCAGGCTGGTGGGTCGGGCGGGCGGCGCTGCTCGCCTGCTTGGAAAGCAGGTCAGCGCCAGGGGGAAGCAAAAGCAGGAGGGCTGGGGTTTTATTTATAGCTTCCTGGTGTTGCTTGGCACTATTGTTGGCCTCCGGGCTCCTTCCGAAGCATGCAGAGTCCTTCTTGTTGCTGTGGGTGCAGTGAGGCCCTGGTGGGGCTGGGAGTGCTTTGTGCAGCTGCAGTGCCAGGGCTGAATCGTCTGCGTCCCCATGGGGAGGGCAGGCAGCAGAGCGGGGCTGCAGGGGCAGAGCAGCAGGGCTGGGGGTTGTAAGGGTGCTTGGAAGGGAGGATGGGGGTGCCCAAATTGGGGCTGAGCGCAAAAAGGAGCTGAACCCAAAAAGGAGCTGAGCCCAGATTGGGGTTGAGCCCAAATTGAGGCTTCCCACAGAGTTTTGGAGTACATGACATGCAGAGTGTGATCTAACCGCACGCGTTGCAGGGCAGCTGCTGCACTGAGCTGCTGCAGAACAGCTTTATCCCGAGTCCTTCCACCTGATGGCTGTCAGGTCGCATCCTGCACCGGTGCTGAATGCTCACTGCACAGCACAGTGTGTGAGCTCCGGGCTGCAGGTGCTCTGCATGGCATTCAGTGCCCCCACCCAGAGCAGAGCAGCGCTGCTCGCTTGGGCTTTAGAGGAGCACGAAGTGAGGAGCACCACACTGAGCCCCTCGGCTTCAGCTTGACAACAGAGCTGGGCTTTGGGCTCCTGAGCCCTGCTGGGAGGCAGCCTGGTGTTTGTGAAGCATCTTATTCTCTGCAGGACAAGGGAAGATTGTGCTGTGGGACTGCAGGCCAGCACCAAGATCCCCCGCCCCTCTAATGATACCAACTCCAGCATTTCCTTCTGTCCTGAAAATGAGAGAGTTCCAAGCTTTGGATATGCCAGACGTTAGAAAAAAGATCCCCATTTGTTTCCTTGGGGTTGGTAGTGCCGTGTGTGTGCTCTGCCCTGTGGGAGCCTTTGCAGGGTTTGTTTAAAAAGAGATAGAAAGAAGGGAAGAAAGGAACAAAACAATAGCTGAACACCAAGAAAATGCTGGAGTTGAATGAAGTGCAGATGTTCTGTCACCTATATTGTCTGCTGGAAATGCACAGAAAAATAAATGACTATGCTCCATGGAATGTAATTTGTCCCACCAGGAGTGAATGGGAGCACAGAAACACTGCAAGATATTAAGGCATAAACTCTTGGAGCAGAGACACTCATCCAGTGCTGCTCTTAATGAGCAGAGATGCTCCTCCAGTGCTGTTCTTACCAAACTCCTGGAACCCATGAGCAAAATTAAGGGACTGAACGTGGGAGGTGGTTATGAGTGGGGAAAATCCCTGTCCTGGAGACTTGCAGTGATGCAGGAAGCAGAGGCAGAGATTGGAGCAAAGGAACTCAACCTGCAGCTGTGCCCCAGGGCTGGGGATGGAGCAGTTCTGCACAGTCCTGACACACAGAGAGCTCCCAAACTGCTTCCCTCACTGCAGGGTGGGAGTCAGGACCGTGGTTGTGTTGCCTCCTCCTCTCTGCAGCCCCCAGACCCATTGGATTTTTGTGTTTGCCTTTGGGTTCGTGATGGAGGCCCATCTGAAGCGCTTGGAGCTTTGCTTCCATGCAGGCAGTGAAATGCAAAGCCGACACTTTTTTCCACTTGGGAAGGTGTGCTGAACCTCAGTTTGCTCTAATTTAGCAGAGGGGCCTTGTTTGATAGCATCCTTGACTGCTTCCTGGGGCCGTTTGCAGTGCAGGTGGGGGATATAGGAGGGGGTTTGGTGCCCCTCTGCCCAGTGCCTTCCTCCTCACTGCTGCTGCCATGGCTGTAGCCCAGAACCTGGTCTCCTCCTCATCCTCCTCCTCTGGGCAGGGAGTTCAGAGAGCCTGGGAAAGAGGAAGGGAACAGCAGAACCCATTTGGCTCTTCCCAGCTCCTGGCTCTGCCCACCTTCCTTCCCTGCCTCATCTACTTTTAATGATCCCATTGCCAGTGTCCAGCAGATTAGAAGAGGGGGCTCTGGGAAGGGGAGCCGGCAATGGGGGGAGCAGGAGGAACAGTGCACAACCCTTGTTGGCAGCAAGAGCTCCTGTTTCATTCCTTCTCTGCTGGTTGAGCTCGAAGGGAGATTGTGTGGCTGGCATTGCCTTGGCTTGGCTGTGCTCCCCCCCCCCTACTATGGCCTGCCCTGCCCCATGCCCACATACCAAGCTCCAGCTGCTCAGCCCTGCATGGGGAGAGCTTATTTTCCACAAAGTTTGTTGCTGGGTATAGGTTTGTGCTCTCTGCATGCCCACCTACTGCAGGGAGCACCCAGCAGCTGCAAGGTAGGGCTCAGCTTTGGCTTGCAAAGATGGGCTGTGGGCAGTGAGAGGTTTCCTGCACACGGTGCATCCTCTTTTTCTCCTCCTCCTCCTCCTCCCCCTATGGGTTCTGCTTCATGGCATAGCCATGCAGGTCTGGAAAGTTTCCTGGAAAGGTTTCCAGAGGAGCTCTGGGGAGCGTAGGGTACAGCAGAGCTGGGTGCAGAGCAGGCGCTTGAGAGGCAGGGGATGGTGCTGCTGCCCTCTGCTCCTCCTGCCCTCCCTTCTTTGCACCCTGTGGTTCTGGCAGGAAGTATTTGGAGCCTTCCAGTTCCTGGAGGGAACCCACAGCTGCTGGGGGAGGCCTGGGTTGCCTTAGTGCATATGAGCATGCAGCCAGGAGGAACCGAGACTGTTCCTGTCCCGGTGCCTTTGTGGGCATCACCATCCCACCAGCACCTCGCTCTGCCCACCTGCCGAGCCATGGCACTAATTACCAGGCCCATTTAACACGAGGCACTGCATTGCTCTGCTCCTCATAGGGCTGCAGTGGCGGAGCACGAAGGCTGCTCCCTGCAGGGCAGATCTGCAGTTTGTGTGCAGTTGCTCAGCACATGGAGAGAGGACCAGATCTTCAAAAGAGCTCCGTGCCCAGCGTTTATTATTTTGGAGAACGTGATGGTTTATTCAAGCATCTGAATGGGAACTGAGGCGTTCCAGAAATCTGGTCCCTATTGTGCAGGCAGGGCTCTTGCTGAATACGTACATATGTATGCACTCCTACAGAGAAGCAGAGCGCTGCTCAGTTGGCTGTTGCAGACTTTACCAGCAGTGAGGGGAGGCTGTTCAGCCAGGAGACAGGCAGCATTTTGGAGCTGGAGGATGTGAATTTGGCTGTTACCATCACTGTGACACTGTGGGAGGTTTCATGGCTCGCAGGCAGGACGTTCCTCTCCTTCCCCACGTGGCTGTGTGTAGGTGTGTAGGCTCAGTGTCACAGCCGTGGTTTGGCTCTCTCTTGTCCCATCCTGACTGTGAATGTGAAGTTAAATGATTCCAGCACTGGCTGGCTGGTACTGACAGCATCATGCTGTATTCCCCCCTCTTGCACCTTCAAGGCTGAAACGCATTTGGGGGTCTGAAAGTGAGGGGATGAGTTCTGTGTTGTAAGGAGGTGTGCAGCTCCTGCCTTCATTTCCACGGCTCTTGCAGTGTGTCCTGGTTTGAGAGCACTCATCTGGGTGGGATTGGGGTCCCCAGCTCCTCTTTTTGAATGTTGCTGTGACTTCCTGTGAAGTCACTGGGAGTTCTCTCATCCCGTGCACCCTCACTTCCCAAGTTGTAGAATGAGATACAGATATTGAAAAGCTTTCTTGAGCTCATCAGCACTCTGCTGTGTGCTGTCAAGTGAATGCAAATGGTTGCTGCTGCATCCCATCCCTGCCATAGTGTGCTGGCAGTGGTAGCCCCAAGGCTCTGAGTGCAGGAGGAAGCAATCTCCATCTTCTGGAAAGTCCCTCCCATGTGATTGCTGTGTTCTGAACACATTCTTGAGGTGAGGATTCAGCTCCTGGGGTAAAACAGGCATGTGGGGGAGTGGGACCCTGCTTAGAGCCCATTCTCCAGATGATTGAAGCAGGGTGGGCAGGACTCGGTGTTTCTCAGCCCGTGATTTTTCCTTGGTTTGTGATTTGAAGAGTCCCATCTTTCTGGGATTTTAATGAGACAAAGAAGCGGGATGGAGGAATGAATCTGAATAGTCTGCCTGCAGTTCGATGGGCCCAGAGCAGCTGTTCTCTGCTGGGAGGGGAGGTGGGGAGGTGGGGAGGGTCTCTGGGTTGGCATCTCCGCTGTGTGAGCTCTTAACCTGTGCAACGTGTGCTGAGGTCAGGATCCTCCCAATGGCTGCACAGGGTGGATCTGAGAAACCTTCCAAGAAGGTAAGAGAGTGAGGTTAAGGGGCACAGAGCCCCAGTTGGGGAAATAGCAAAAAGGAAAGCTCAGGTTACTTGAAATCAGGCAGAGCTTGTTAAATCCTTCCCTATCTTCTTGAGAGCATGAACTGATTCGGGGGCTTCTGTTGATATTCTGCACTCCAGATGTTGGCTGCAGCTGGAGCAGGGATGGTGGGACACTCCCAAGCTGGGATGTGGGGGAAGGGACTTTGGGCTCTTGTGGATGGGTGGGGAAGGAAAGAGGAATATGAATGTATGGTTGTAAATCCACCCCTACACACCCTCCTTTCTTTTCCCTTACAACCGCTATTCTCAGCAGAGGAAAAATAAGCCTTCCAGTGCTCTCTGATTTCTTTTGCAGAGTCGTAAGGACAAAGAAAGACCCAAACAGAAGCACAAAAAACGTCCAGAATCTCCCACCAGCCTTCCAACACCCACGGTGCCCATCGCTGCAGAAAAGGTACTGAGCCCAGAAAGGGGTGAGAGAGGGAGGGGAGGGGGAACCCGCGCTCCTATAGGAGGTGGGATGGAGGATGCAGAGGGGCAGAGAAAGAGCTTTTTGTCCGTTGTTTGTGATTCCTGATTCGTTCTCACTCTGCTCCCACCTCGGGGATTTGGCACAGCAGCTGCCTGGGTGTCTGTCAGCACTGACAGTGCAGTGATGGAGCTGCAAGCGCCCGCCTGTTCTGCAGCAGATGTTCAGATTTAAAGCTCTCGCAGAACAGATAAATATCCATGATTTGGCCTTTCCTGTAAACAGCTGAGGCAGGTAGGTAAGCGAGGCAAGGCTTAGGGGAGGAGCTGCTATCCTTTGTTAGTCTGGGTCCTTCTGGGGTAGGATTGAAGAGGATTTGCTGTGTGGGGCCAAGCCTGGAGCAGGGAGGAGATGCAGGAGAGAGCTGAGATGGCACAGCCAGTCTGAAGGGGCCTCAGGCTGGGAGACACAGCTGGATGGAAGGAAGAAATAGCTTCTGAGCTTCAGTCACTCCTGGTTTCTCTGTACTCGTATCAAGGAGCTCAGCTCTGGCTTTGGGGGAGCAGCAGATTCACCCAGTTAACAGAGCTGTTGGGAACTGACGGCCTAAGAAGATCATTTTCAAGCTAAACTGGAATCCAAAACCTGACTTCTGGGCAGCTGAAGTGGTGGCACACAATTACCCACTGTCTCCTCAAAGCCCTGCCAGACTTTACAAACAAGGATGGGAAGGTGAACTCAGTTTGACAGGCAGCTTGCAACTCTGGAAGCTAAAATGCAGGGGATCCTGATGGCTGTAGCCGTGCTTGAGTGACAGCATTTTGGTGTTACTGTATTTCCTCATAGCAGAGTGCATTTCCCTTGCTTTTTTATTTCTTTTGTGTGTGTGCAAAGTTTCTCAAAGCATTGTTCAAACTCTGCTACCCAAAGCACCCACTCTGGATCCAATGCTGCAAAGCCTGTGTGAGGCTTTCTGGATGCTTGCACCAATGCAGCATGGCAGTCCTTATGTAAGACCTTGAGACACACTGATGCAATACATCCAAACAGGTTTTCTCTTTGGAGCCCAAGCCATCTTTGTCCTTCTTTAAGTCTTGGATAGCACTGCTCACCCCAGCAGAGTGTGTTGGGGTACATGCAGCAAGCAAGAAGCTGGCACTGCTGGTGTCACAGTGCAGAAGAGCACAGTGGGGATTCCCACTTCCCCATTTCCTCAGGCAGCCTGGCCTCTGCTGCCCATCTTTCTTTAATTTTGCAGTGCAGATTTATTTCTCCGTTCCAATTCTCACCTGCTGCGTTGTCCACCCCGTGTTCCCCTCTTGAACCACTTAGCTGTGAAGATGCTTCGATGTGGTTTCAGTCTTCCTCTTGAAATCAGTCGTGTTACACCTCTGGCTTCTGCCAGAGTTCTGAACCTCTCACTGAAGTGCTTCCCTGTGTCATTTAGGAGTCTGAATACCATTCATATCTGTTGCTTGGGCCCAGCCAAGCTCCTGTGCTGTCACTGCCTCTCTCTGCTTCAGGCTGTGAGCACACTGAAGCACAGAAGTGACCTCAGCTCTCGTGTACACTGGAAACTGAGAGTGTGAACTTCCAGCGTGGAAATGATTCTTCATGACACCTCTGAGCCCTTCCCCTGCCTCCAGCATATGTCCTTGTGCAGTGTGGATGGCATTGCCCTCAGAGAGGGGCAGATCCTGGGGCCTGAGAGCATCCTCATGAGAGCATGAAAACCCCCCCGAGGTGCTCGTGGAGGGGCTTGGGGATGGTTTTGCAGTGGGATGGGTTGTAAGGAATGGATCTGTGGGGTGCAGTCACTCATGGTCATGCTGGTTGCTTGCAGCTCCTGCAGACTTTCGGGGGAGCACGAGACAGGCAGGAACCACCCCTCCCCTCTGTGTAATGCTCTCTGGCTGTGTTACTTTCTAGCTGTTTCATGTGGCCCATCCAAACCTTCGAAAACACTGCCAGCTCGTTATGCTTTGGAAAAGCCTCTTGGAAAGATGGTATCCGCAGAGTGAGCTCAGGGCAGAGGAGGGTTTCTTGCCAGCACAGTGGCTCACCAGCAAACCTTTGCTCTGCCAAGCAGCAGTCTCTGCTCTCAGGGTCGGTCTGTGTAGCTGGGGCTCCGTGCTGGCTGCATGGGTTAGCAGGCACAGCAAGCAGCACGCTGCAAGCCCTCACCTTCCCCCTGCAAACCCCCCTGGGGAGCCGTCCTGCCGCTCTCTGTTGCACTTGCAGTAAATCTGCAGGCTTGCAAGCCACCCCAGCTGCCTCCTTCTGCCAGCTGCAGCCATCACGATCACTTGTTGACACACACACACATGCTACGTGTTTGGACTGCAACATCTGGCTTTCTCTGGGGTTTGTAATGGAAGTGGCGGATGCTGGGGGCTCCCCGCACCCACGCGGCCATCAGGTGCTGGAGGAGGTTGAGGGGGTGGTCCTGAGGTTTTGCAGTGTGATTTAAGCTCTGGGGGTCTGCCAGCAGGCCTGGAGCTGACAGATGTTGGGAACCTCCGCACCGTGCCTTGCTCAGGCAGATCCAGTAGCTGGGATGGGGCAGGGGTTGTTCTGGTTCCCCTCTGCTCGTCAAAGTGCATCTCAGCATTAGATGTTTGCAGAGAGCCTTTCAGCATCCCTCATCCTGACACGGGTATGAATTTCCCAGAGGCATCAGGGAGCAAAAAATACAGCCTTCAGCCCATTTCCATCGTGCCTATAAGGAGCACAGCACGGTGCTGGCTGTGAGCAGCTCGGGCACTGATGCTGCAGCTCATCCAGGCGCCGCAGCCCAGAGCTCCCAATAGAGATGTGTTTGACCTCTGCTGAGCAATCTGGTTTGGAAGGGCAGCTGATGCACACAGCCTGCTCCAACACGTCGCATCTCCTGCTCTCAGTGCATTGTTCCTTGTTTGCATCCTCCCTGCTTCTCCTCGCCAGTAGTTTAATCCAGGGCAAAGCAGCTCTGCGTTTTCCACGCTGCACAGCCTCCCCCCACCCCCTTCTGCCTTCCGTCAGTGGTTCCCTCTAGGAGCTCGTCCCTCCAATCAGAAAGCAAAGAGATGCTCTTCTGATTTCCCATCAATAAATTAATGAATGAAGAGCGCTCGGGTGCTGCACAGTGTCACAGAGAGGCCAGCAAACAGGTACAGCCCCACGGGGACAGCGAGCGCCGGGGGGAGGAGGTGAATGCATGCCTGTGCAGTGTGGCTGGAGCAGGAGTTCCCCTCCTGTCACCTCCAGCTGGGGCAGCAGGTTTGTCCTGCTGATGTTTTTTCCTCTCGGATGCTTAAAACAGCTCCTCAAAATGGAACTGCTGCCTCATTTTGAAAGGGTGCTCTCGCTTCCTCCGTGCTTCTCTGTTGGTTTTTGGTGTTGTTCCCCCCCCCCCCCCTCTGCTGCATGCTCTCCCCCGTGTGCACCTGTTTGCAAAGCACACAAACCAGTGGTGTGTCTACACGTAAATGCTGGAGGAAAGGCGATGGTGCAGAGGTTGGGGCTTCTGTTTCTATGCAGTGCAAGCAGCTGGCATGCAGGCTTTTCTCCAGCCCTGCTTCCTCCAGCTGGAGGATCTCCTTCATTAGGGATGCGGTGGGATGGCAGCCCTCGTTACTGTTATTAATATTGGCACTCCCCATTGGGTCACGGCTGTGTTGCACTTGGCAATCCATGTGTGTGTCCTGGAAGGCTGCAGTGCCACACAGAGCTCCTTGGGGCAAAGCAGAGAGGAAACAGAGGCGCAGAGGGGGGGAAGGGATTGAATTTGGGGGCTCAGGCCCTTGCCCCGTGTGCAGGCTCTGTGTGGTGAGGGGTTCCTGGTGACACCATGCAGATCCATTTGGCAAATGCTGTGCAGGACACGTGATAAAATCCTGCTCCCCAAATGTGGGGGGGGGGGATCCATCGGAGCAGCCTGTGGGTCCAAGCAACCCTGCAGGTGGGTTTCTGCCCTCACCGCTGCCCCCTCAGCCTCTCTCCCCTTCCTTTTTCTTTTCTTTCTTTTTTCTTTTTGCCTTTAATTTTGCAATTAAGATTTATTTCCCAGCTCAGATTTCCCCCCTCCCACCCTGCAGTAATTCACTGCTTGCCCTGCACTCCCTTCCTGACGCTCCCCATTTAGAACATGTCCTCTCATGCGGTTTCCCTCTGCCCTTCTGTGGCCTCGTGCACCTTGTGTGAAGCTCCACAGAGGTAAATTTATGGGGCTGGGGGGGGGGGGGGGGGGGGGATGCGGGGCTTTGCATTTGTGCTGAGGCATGAGCCATCTCGTTGCTGTGACTTCCCATAGCCCCCAGACACCTCTCTCCTTTCCCCCCCCCCCCCCCGAGGCAGATGTGGAAAGTCAGAAAGATTTTCGTGCTCCCTCTGAGGTCGTAAATCAGGAAGGCTTAATCTCCTACATCCAGGAGTCTGTGATGAGAAAATACAGATCCCCCCCTTCTCCCCCCACCCTAATTTCCACCACTCCCTTCCTCCTGTCTTTCATATTCCCGGCACATCTGGTGCGCGTTAGGCAGCCAGCTGTTGCATTGTGCAGAGTGATGAAACCATGTGGGAGGAATGGGGAAAGATTTCTATCTGGGCACTGAAGGAGCATCGCCAGCCCTTTTTGCTTTAGCTCTCCCTGAGAAGAGGTCACCTGGAATCAATGCCAGGAAGGTATTGTGCTTCTCTGTGTCTTCCTTCTATCTGCTGCCATTACAAAATAAAGGGCGTTTGCACTGATGTTGCAGCTGTTGCGTTTGGGGCTGTGGCCATCAGGTTGGAGCAATATCCAATATCCATTTGCTTGCAGAAATACCTTGCAAGAAGTGATCTTTGCTGCTGTTTTGGCTTTGAAGTGATGTGAAGGTGAAGCTGTCACCTCCCAGTGTGGCTGCCCAGAGGGATCTGGTTTTCCATCCATTCCACCCCCCCTTGCTCAGCTCCCACACTTCACTCTCTCTCTCACTCCAAGCTCCTGGATTTCCCAGCATCTGCCCGGCCTCTTCACCCCCTGCTTCCCTGTCTCCTGCAGGCTTACGGGGGGTTTGGGCAGCATCTGTTGTTAGATGGTCAGATGCTGTGCAAACTATGTGCTGCAGTAGAGGTGGAGCTCCCTGGAACGGCAGCAAGAGGTGGTGTGAAACTCATTGCAACTCCCATTGCAGCAGCAGGACGGCCGGGTTCTTGCAGGTGGAGTGACCTCGTGCAGAGAGCAGCACACCTGAGGGATGCAGCTGAGACGTGCATTTGAATTGCAGCCAGTTTCAGATTGTGTTTGGACTGAATAACCCTCCGAGCGTGGGTGCTTCGCTGCGGTGCCTGTGCTGTCGGTGCCCTGTTTCATTTCCTGCAGTTAGATGGGATGAGCGTAATCCCCGAGTTACAAAGACTGGTGCCACCAAGGAGCAGCAGAGAGGGATGCTGTTGTTCTCCTGGGGGTAACGTGAGCTGGCCTTGGCTCTGCGGGCAGAGAGAGCAATTACTTCTCTTAAGGGGAAATTGGTAAAAAGAGCCCCTGCTGTGGCCACATCTGGTTCAAGTGAGTCACCTCCGTGTTTGCTGCTTGCCAGGGCTCCACCAGCCACCATGAGGGGAGCAAAGAGACCTCAGAGGTCGGAAGATCAGAGGTGAAAGGCAAGAAGTCCTCGAGTCATGGCAGCAGCCACAAGGGGAAGAAGACGGGGAGCGGGAAGAACTCGGCTGGGTTCAGCTCTGCATCTTCCAGCAGCACCTTCCAGCCTGCAGGTAAGGGGTGAAGGAGGAGTGAGGGTGAAGGGGGGAATGGCGGTGATGGTTTGCTTTGATTCTCGTTGGTATCTCTGTATCAGTTCAGCAGGGCATCAGTTCAGAGCCCGTGCTTTGTGACTGATTGCACTTGAACCCCTCGGAGCAGAAGGGGGAAGGTGTCGTTGCCCCTTGCTCTGTGCATGGGGGGAATAACTGTGTCTGATGCTGCAGCTCTGCTCCTGCGTGCGCCTTCTGCACCGCAAGGGAAAGCAGATCCAGATGTCTGAGCAGAGGGAGGAGGAAAGGGATGCTTGCTCAGGCAATGTGGGCAGCACCTGCCTCCGCCTCCATAGGTGGGACTGTCTGCAGCAGTGCTGTAAGGAGTGCTGGGGGAGAGGCCTGAGCCACGACCTGATAGCTCCATACCCCAGAGCTTTGAGTTGATACCTAACAGGGCTCCCATCTGCTCAAATTTTTTTTTATTATTATTATTTTTTTGAGCTGTTGCCAGAACTGCTTGCAGGTTTCATCCCCTGGGACTCTGGTTGGGGCTGGAAGAAAGGTGATGGTTGATGGTGCAGGGGAGCAAACACATGTGGGTTTGGGTGGGGTGAAGCCACTGCTGTGCACCTCTGGTGCTTTCTAGAGGGCATCAGAGCAGCTGGGCAGGGCTGGAAGGTGGCAGAGATGTCTGTCAGCTTGGTGAGCAGCCTGTGACCAAGGAGCTGCCCTCTGACCGTGCTCTCATTGCACCGTGGGCTGTGTTATTGCCACCACAAGCCTTCCTATGACTGCTTCCCCTCTTCCTCCCCCAGGCACCTCCTGCAGCTCCTTGCAATGCTCCCAGGATTTCATGGCGTTCCCCAAGCTAGAGCAGGACGACGAGAAGTACCGCAAGCCCGTCTCCTCCTCTTCGTCTTCCCACTGCTCCCCGCTGTATGAAGGCCAGAAGGGGGACATCTTTGAGCAGAAGGTGATCTTCTCAGGCTTCGGGTCCATCATGCGCTTTTCCACCTCTGCTGTGAGCCAGCCGAGGGGCCGCGATGCTTCCCCTGTGGATTACAAAGCCTCAAACCCCATCGGTGGCCCTTCAGCAACAGGCAGCGCTGCCACAAGCAGCAGCCACAAGCGTATGCCATCCCTCAGCATGGAAGAGGGAGAGGTGCTGAAGGAAAAGAAGCACAAAGGCAGCAAGAAAAACAAGCACGGGCCTGGCAGGCCAAAAGGGGGCAAAAGCAAAGAGATGTTGGGTGCCCAGCTGGCTGGGTCCACGTCGACATCCTCGTCACCATTCTCTGGAGGTTCTCTCGTCAGCTCCAGCATCAGCAACTCTTCACGGCCCTTCAGCCACACGGGGAACCTGCCCAGCCTCAGCTTGGAGTCCCCGCTGCTGAGTTCAGGTATGTTTCCCCCCAAGGGCTCCAGGTGTGCTCCTCCCAGCCCTGCTCCCTTCAGCATCACGTCTGTCTGGTGCCTGAACCTGCCTCTGCACACTGTCCGGTCCCCATCCATCACTCCCAGGAGCTCTAAGAACCCACCTCCAGTCTTCTGTTCCCATCCTGGTCCCCATGGTTCCCATCTTCATCTGCATGCTTGTTGGAACTGGGCTCATTTCAAGCCTGTCTTGCTCAAGTGCTGGAAAACCTCAGCGAGTCAAAGCTTCCTTTCTAAAGCGATGCAGACAGGGATATTCCCAGGCCAAATTGGAGGAACCGCCATCTGACCCCAAATGAGGGATTCTCAGGAGTGGTTCAAGCTTAACCCTTCTTTAAAAAGCAAAACCTTTCATCTTGGTGTGGCCACATCCACATAGGGTTGGAGGATGGGCACACCGTTAATGCTGCAGAGAGGCTGTGTGCTGCCCCTGGCCTGGGAAGCTGAATCCTGAGCCCTGATCTGGCTTGGGAGGGGTGAGAGCAGCGGGATGTGCGGCAGGAAGGGGTTAAGGCAGCATGCAGGGGAGGGGCCTGCAGCTCCAGGCTGAGGTTTGACACTGTTCTGGCAGCAGAACTTGTCATCGGTCTATTGTGGGTTGTTTGCAGATGCTCCAATTTAGGTCAGATTGCAAAGGGGGGGGGGGTTAATTCTGCTGCATGCACCCGGGAGCTGCGGCCCATTTGTTTGCATCGCCTGAGAGCGGAGAGGAACTGCAAGAATCATTGCAGCCTCCTCCACCATTACAACCTGAGGCCAATCTTTTTCTTTTTTTTTTCCCCTCTCCCCCTGGAACAGCAAAGGAACGTTTCAGAGAGGAAGAGGCTGCCAGGGCCTGCCCTCTCCCTGCTCATTCTCCCATTCTTCTGCAGAGGGATGTTGGCAGAACCAGCGCTGGGCTGTGTGCCTGTGCAGCAGCTCCTTCCTCGTCCCTCTTCGTCCCTCCTAACCCATTCCTCTGTCCCTCTCCCTCCTCAGTCCCCGAGGGTGGTGGAAGGGATCAGGTTAACTCAGCAGCAATGCTGTCCCTTGGCTGTGGGTCTCCCTTCTGTCACCCACGTGTGGCTTCGGTGAGTCACTCAGCGCTGCTGTTTCTCAGTCCGACTGTATCGGGGTGCAGCAGGCAAACGAGGAGGGAAGGCTGGAAAACTTTGACACCTTTTGACAGGGCTGTCATTGCTCTGGGCCACGAGATGCTGAGGTGTTCATCCCACGTGGTCCTTCTGCAGTGCCACCCTCCCTTGCAGAGATGCGCCCTGCAGCGCACCAGCAGCCCCCAGGCCTTGCTGCTGCTGGGAGCCTGCCTCTCCAACACGTTTCCTCCCCTCGCAGGGATCTACACCAGTAACAAGGACCCTATTTCCCACGGGGGTGGAGTGCTCCGGGCTGTTTGCAGCACACCCCTCTCCTCCAGCCTTCTGGCACACCAGGGCACCGCGTCCATCCCGCCGCTCAACCGCTCTCCTTTTGCGAGCACCATCCCCACCTCCTCCTCTTCCTCCGTCTCCACCACGCAGGTAAGAGCCCTGGGAGCAGGGTGGGCTGTTGTTCAGGAGGGCACTGCACTGAGCAGGGCTGGTTTGTGGGCACAGAGGAGCTGCTTTTTCCCTTCCTTTGCTTTGGAAGGGAGCTGCCAGCTGCACCTTCCTTTGGCATCACTTAAAAGATGCAGACGGAGAAAGTTGCAGGCAGTTTGGCATCACAGCAACAAAGTTCCCTTGTCTGATTTACTTTAGTCTGGAGACTACGCTGTTCTGTTGGGTTTTTATACCTGAAAGATTGCAGAAGCTGCATAACCCTGAATCTGTTGTTGCTACAGCTCAGGATATCACTCAATGCACACAACAAACCGTGTGTCCAGGGCCCCCTGAGGATGCTTACAGCCACCTTTGGGGTGAGAGGAATTGCAGCCTGATGGCTCATTACCTCCACTGCCAGTACAAGGAGCACAGCTCAGGTGGCAGAGGTGTGTGCTGTGTCCCTGCTGCTCACCACCAGTGCCAGCCCTCCGGCACGGGGAGCTCAGTGGGAGGCATCTCAGCTGGGTGGGCTGCACGCGTGCCAGCGCACAGAGCCCCGTCCTTTGTTGGGAGCTGGTGCTGAGAGGTGTTTTACAGGGAGGAGAGAGTTAGTTTTACAGCTGCAGTGTTACTCAGCCTGTTCAGACCTCTTGGCACGGAGATGGGGCTGGGAAGATTTTCAGCTGTCTGCTGGGACTTCCAGGGAGATATTTTTAACACTCTCTCTCATGACCGAGCCGAGTTCAAGAAGTAATCTCTCCCTTTCCCTCCCTCCTTTCTCTCCCTCCCCACCCTCCCACCTCCCATTGCCATGCAGGTGTTCTCTCTGGCAGGTTCCACGTTCAGCCTCCCCTCCTCACATATTTTTGGAAGCCCCCTCACATCTGGGCTGTCCATCAACCCGCTCTTAAATCAGTCGGAAAGCAGCCGGGCAGGTACGTGAATCAGAAGGTATGTGAGCCTGGGCTCCTGGAGGGATCTCCCTGGAGGAGTCAAGAGAACAGCATCCATAGTTGTCCATCTGCCCCCCCCCGCTTGCTCCCACCCCACAGATGTGGCATACAGGGCCAGCAAAGAGGCACGGTGGCTTTTCCCCCTGTTTGCCCCCATCCAGCCCTGTAGGAACAACATTTGCTGCTCTGTGATGCGCGTCCCTGGAATTGCAAGAATGGAAATCTTTCCCTCCTTCCACACCCCAAAGATTTCCTTCTCCCAAAGATTTGGTGCCTTTTCACCAACTGAAGCTGGGCAAACCCGCTGAAGAACTGTTCTGAGCTTTTGCATATTCAAAATCCTCTGAAGGGCCTTTTTGTTGTTGTTTAAAACACTCTTAATTTTCATCTTCCAGTCCTGTTTTGAGTTACTTTCTGCTCTTCCCCTTTGGCTTTCTCATGAAATGCAGCAGAATCTGCTGTTTTCCACTTCCAAACACGAACGTGCCAAGCACCGAATTGCTTACAACTGCTCATTTTTTCCCACCAAGGCAAATCCATTTTTCTTGGAAAGCTGCCTGGTTCATAAGCAGGAAACTTGAAGCATCGTAAGGCTTTTTTTTTCCTTCTTTTTTCCGAGCAGAACCAGCCTGCCTTTCAGTTTGCTCTGTAGTTCAGCAAAAGCAGTTAGCAGCGCTCGTGCTTAGCCCAGAAATGCTGGCAGCTCAGCATGTTGGATGCTGGACCCGTGGAGGTAAAGCTCTGCCCAGCATCACGTGGAGCAACGAGGGCTCGGAATGGCACAGAGCTCAGTAGGGATCACCCTGAGCTCTCTGGTTAATCCACGGTGCCCTTATTTGCCTTAACCAGCGTGCATGCCTGCATGTAAAGCACGAGGGAACACGTGTGTTCACGTGTGAGCCTCTGGAAGTTGCCTGTGTGTTGTCTGCGTGTCTCTGTGTGTTGCTGGCGGTGTTGTGTCTGCATGAGTGCAATGGGAAGTGCAATGAGCACACTGCTGACACCAGTGGGGTCAGGGCTGCAGGAGCTGCGAGCCAGGAGTGCTCACCTGGAATGGAGGAGGGAAGGGGATGATTCCAAGAGTTATTCCTCCCCCGTGGCCATCAGTGAGAGAGAGGAGAGCACCCTGCTGCCACTTCTCTGGGCCGTTATTGTGGTGAGGTGCTGACAGCAGGAGGAAGCAAATGGGCTTTCAGGAGCAGCCTTGTGGTTCAGGCGCGATGCAGAGGCTGAGCAGCCCGGCTTCAGCTCCAGCCCTGCGGCCGATGATGGATGAAGCAGGCAGGCAGAGCCGTCCCTGCTCAGTTTCCATCTCCAAAATTGCTCTTTTGGGTTGAGTGGGATCCTTCTGATTCCAGCCAGCCTTCAGAACAGCTCCTGTTGTTTGTCACCTTTAAAGGTTCTCTATCACCATCTCCTCTCTGCAGCAGCAGAGAGTCGGAGGCTCCGGGACGGAGGCCATTAAGCCAAATTCCTTTCTTTTTTTTTCCCTCTTTTTTTTTTCCAGTGGGATTAATTAACATGCATTAAACCTCCTTTGCAGCCATTTTCACTTAAAACTGTGACGACTGCTTTAATCCCAAGTCGTTAACAAGGTGGCTGTGACGTTTTAAGTGTTCCTGCCTTGTCTTTCATACAGATTACCTTTCCTGGGAGTGTCTGTGTAGACAGATCCCCTGCAGACATAGCTTTCATTGCCCTGATATTCGAGTCCTTCACAACTTTAATGTGATGTAGGAAAACGGTGTTATCCTGTCTTACAGATGGAGGAACCGAAAAAACTGTTATCCCTGATGCAGGTTGATACCAGAGTGCCTTTGGCAATGCAAAAAGTCTGATTCCTATCTTCCCACTCCCTCAGCTCCTGTCTGGTTCATCCACCCACTGCTTGTCCTGGATCCTGCCTCACCACGATGACAGCCCAAATGCATTTATCTCCCATGGCTGTTTCAGAGCCTCTTTTTCATCCTTGTTGCCCTGCAAGGGGCTGCCTCTGTTTGATAACTCAGTTATCTCCCAGACTTGCAGCCAACAGAATGGTGTTGGCCAGGAGATAGCTGAGCGTGGAGCTTCAGAATCACATGTATGGACACGGCTGCAAGAAAACAAGACAGCAACAAGCAGACAGTCAGAGCTTGGCTGAGTGTTGGTCTGCTTGCATGTTAAACCTGTTGTGGCACAGCTGCATGCCATGGGATGTGGATATGTTCTGAAGGGTTTAGGGGTGAAAATGATACTGAGATGAACTGCTGTGGTGGGACTGCTCCCAGGAGCTGAGGAAGGCTCCGTGCCTTCTGACATCCCCCTAAATCCAGCCTTGTTGGCCTTGTTTCCACGTGTCCTTACACCAGCACATCGCTGCTGGCTGGGAGCAGTGGCTTCTCCCCATGTGGGCTGACCAGGTGTAGTTGGTGGCTGAGAAAGCACCACCATATGGGCAAGGGGCTGAGGGCTGCTCTCATTCCTGCAAGCCTTGCTCTTGTATTGCTGGTAACCAATGCCCTGCTCGGGGCATGGTGGTGTAAATCACAGTGCTTTGCAGTGCTCCCTGCGGGAGACTTCCTGGATTCCTGCACATGAGAAACATCTCTTCTTGTGTGAGGAAGAGGAGGGGCAGCCAGACGTCGGGGTGGGCTGCCCTCACTACACCTGGGTTGCCCAGAGCAAGACTAGCATGTGCTGAGGGGCTGCAAACAGCAGATAAATCCTCCTCGTTCTTGGTGACTGTTTGGATAGGAGATGTCTCACACATGAGCACAGCAGCATCATAGGGGAGTGGGGCACTGGAACAGACTGCCAGAGAGCTGTGGGTGCCCCATCACTGAGGGGGGGCTCTAGGCAGCCTGAGCTGGGGAGGGTTGGGGGGAGCCCGATTAAGGCAGGGGTTGGAACTAAATGATCTTTAAGGCCACTTCCAACGGGAGCCGTCCTGTATGATGTGGAAAGGCTGGAGGACCGCAGCTGGCTTGGGGAAGGGATGCTGGAGGCTCAGAGAGCCGAGCGTGTCCGTGCCTGCGAATCATCCTCAGCAAAGCGAGCATCCTCAGCTCGGTGATCACAGCCTTCCTTCTACCCGGACAGCCGGGCAGCACCCAGCCGTGACCTTCCTTGGGTGACACTCGGGGACACGCAGCCCCTCCTCCGTCGCCTCCCCCCGGGGGCGGGGGCTTTGCGGGCGCTGCGTGACGCAAAGGTTCGGCCGGGCTGCTCGGTGCTCCCATCTAGCGGGGACAGCCCGGCTGCGGGCACCTGCAGCACCGAGCGCTTATGAACGGGGTGCCTCTCTGTGCTTCTCCCCATCCAGAGCCCGACCTGGAGGACTGCAGTTTCGGCTGCCGAGGGACTTCGCCCCAGGAGAGTCTCTCTTCCATGTAAGTGAGCTTCGGGTGCTCCGGGAGCCGTGGAGGAGATGGGGCCGGGGGGGGGGGGGGGGGAGCCGGGGGGGGGAAGGAAGGCTCGTGTCCTCCTCCTGGGGAAGGCGTGGGGCCGCTCCGGCAGCTGGGCAGGTAGAAACGAGGGATCTGCTCCTGAAGAAGGGATGAGAAGAGCAGAGCTGGGAGGAATGTGGAAGAGCTGCGGGGAGAAGGGAGGGGAGGAGCGCGGTGCAGATGAGGGGTTCTGACTGCATCCCCCCCTCCCCGCAGGTCCCCCATCAGCAGCCTGCCGACCCTCTTTGACCAGACGGTGTCCTGCAGCAGCAGCGGGCAGCTGGAAAATGTCCCCCAGGCCACCCCCAACATCGAGCAGCTGCTGGAGAAGCAGGGCAATGGGGAAGCTGGCGTTAACAGTGAGTCACTGGGGGGAGGGGGGGGAAGGGGCTGCGGGAGGAGCGATCCTTGGGTGTGTTTTGGGGGGGTTTTGCCCTTAAAAAATGGAGCCAGGCTGGGGATGAAGCACTGACCTGTGGTGTGGGGAGGAGCTGGCAGTGGGGCTGCGTTCTGGGGGCCGACCTTCCCTTGTAGTGCTCTAATTGCAGCACCCCTGTGTGCTCCCCCTTCTTCTCTCCCCTCTGTCCCCTCATCTCCTCCCCGGATTCCATCCCTCCTCCCCCTATTCCATTCCATTGCAGTTGTAGAGATGCTCAAAGCTCTGCACTCGCTGCAGAAGGAGAATCAGCGGCTCCAGGAGCAGATCATGACGCTGACAGCCAAGAAGGAACGTTTGCAGCTCCTCAACGTCCAGCTCTCTGTCCCTTTCCCAGTGGTGACCAGCAGCAACGGGCCTGGCAGCCAAACCCATTACATCCTGCCCAGCAACGGTGAGGGGCGGTGGGAAGCATCACTCTGTGCCCCCTTATAGGAAGTCCTGGGGTGGGTCGAGGCAGGGAGGATCTGACCCATTTATGTGGCTGCAGCCACTGGTGGCAGAGCCATTGCTGTGGCAACGTCAGGCTCCACCCTGACTCTCTGTTCTCACTTCTTTCCTCCTTATAGTGTGCAACAATGATTCCCTGAGCATCAGCAAGAGCCCCCCCTGCAAGAACAGCTTTGGGATTGAGAACTCGCTCTCCACTTCCTCTGAGGTACACGGGGGTCACACGTCCCCCAGCCAGCTGGGAAGGGACTGGGGAGAGAGCAGAGCAGTGCAGTGCCAGTGCTCTGACTTGGTGTCCAGCTCACAAAGCCTCGTAGCCGAGGCCCAGAAACCAGGCTTCTTTCTCTGGAGCTGCTCATTCTCAGTGCTGAGGGTTGCTGAGCCTGCAGGCAAGAGGTGAGAGTGCTTCCAGGCTATTCCAGCCACGCTGTTAGAGATCCTGCAAAGCACGTCTGAGTTCTGGGACCTCTCTGAGCATACGCCTGCACTTGCACTCACAGCCCCCTTCCCACCTCCAGCTCCATCCCCCCCAGAGCTGAGCCAACCTTTCACAAGCTGCCCCAGTCCGATGCTCTTATGTCCGTTTCTCCCCCAGGACCCTCATTCAGGTTGCCCCAGCAGGAGCAGCTCTTCCCTGTCCTTCCACAGCACTCCTCCACCCCTGCCCATGCTGCAGCAGAGTCCTGCCTCGCTACCCCTTCCCGGGGTGCAGCAGGTGAATGGCCTGGCCAGGGTGGCAGGCAGCGGGCTGGGGGGTGGCACCACTGCCAGCCACAGCCTCTCCACGGTGCCCATGGTGGACGGCCTGATGGGGACCGTGGCAGGAGGTCAGCAGATGCCCATCAACGGGATCCTGGGGAATCTGAACGGAGCTCAGGCCGCCCAGCCTCCAAGCGCGCTGACGCAGGCGAGCGGCCCTCCGACCTTGCAGCTCTCCACCAGCCTGAGCAGGTGAGGACGGGGAGCTCGCGGGGACAGCCGGGCCCTTTCCAGCAGAGGTTTAGCACCGGGAGGGAGGGAGGGATCCTTGCACACGCAGGACCAAGGCGGGCTGCGCTGATGCTGGCTGCTCCGCTCCCTTGCAGCATGCCGAGCCTGAGTCCCCTGACAGAGCAGCAGCGGCACGTCTTGCACCAACACGAGCAGCAGCTCCAGCAGCTCCAGCAGCTCCTGACTTCTCAACCGCTTAATCCGGTAAGCGTGCCTGCTGGCACCTTCTGTCTGACGAACTTTTTAATGGGGAATGCCCTGGAGCTGGGATGGGAAGCGTTGTTCCCTCCTGCAGCCGAGCCTCCCTTGCGGCCGTGTGCGTTCTCCCCATCTTGGTGCTGCTGCGGGTGGAGCGAGGAGGAAAGCTGCAGGCAGGAGGGTGTGGAGGGGGCAGATGGGGGTGTGGGCTTTGTTGTACAAAGGAGAAAAGTTTCATCTGGGTTTCCCACACCCTGAGGGTGTGAGAGCACAGCAAAGCTAAGCCAAGGTGAAAGCAGGAGCACTGTTACCTCCTCCTGCCGAGTGAATGCAAACCGTGTCTGCTCCTGCTGCAGATACACCAAGGCTCACAGGAGAGGAAGAACTCGCTGAAGGACACTGCTTGAGTGTAGAGGGAGATAAGCAGCAAACTGCTTAGTTGTGAGGCAGGCGAGCCGTGCCTGGGCACACTGACATGGAGAACTGGATGTGGGGTCAGGAGGAGGGCTGGGCAGCTGCTCTGAGGGTCCGACCCCATCCTCCTGGGGGAAACAGCAGCAGGCAGCCGTGGGAAGGCTGCACAGACAGATGGTGAACAGAACCTGGAGTGTTTGAGAGCTGCATTCGCTCACCCTGCAGCCACTCCATGCTGCCCCTCGCTGCCGTGCGGTCACACAGGAGCGCTGACAGCTCCCGTCAATGAAGCTCTGCTCATTTATGTCTCCCATGAACTCGGCCCCCTGCTTTGCACAGATTTCTGGGTCAGGCTATTTATAACCAGGGAAAAAGCAAATTTCCAAAGGCTTCTCTTTGCAGCGGCTGATGTCACCGTGTCATCAGCTGCATCCCTATGGGCATGGAAACAAAGTCAGCTCTCAGCGCGCCGCATTGGTCGATGGTTGCTATAGTGACTTCTGCAGTTCAGTTGGGTGCCAGGGCATCCCTCCAGGCTCAGGTGTGCTGTGGTCCTCATCCCCAGAGCCCGGCTCACTCAGATCCACCCTGGGGTGCAGCAGAACGGGCTGGGAGGGGAAAGCAGCACCCAGCATAGATATCCAGGGTAAGGAGTGCAGCAGATTTAAAATCCACGGATTGGTTATTTGGAAAGCACTTAGTGGATATGCGTGTCCACACTTCAGGAACCGATAGGGTCAGAGAGGCGATGAGCACAGGCTGCTAACGAATAAAACAAATGGTTCCTCTCTGTACCTGTAGGGATGTGATGAAGGGGACTTTTGCCTTATCCCCATCCACAGCGTGCTGATAAGGCTCCTGGCTTCTTTGCCTTAGGCGTCACCCCTTCTTGAGCCTTTTGTCCCTCCTTTGATGACTTTCCTCACCTTTCCCCGCAGGAGCAGCAGGCCCTGGTGTTCCAGATGATGCAGCAAATCCAGCAGAAGAGGGAGCTGCAGCGGCTGCAGATGACGAGCTCATCCCAGCTATCCATGAGCAGCCTCCTGGCAGCCACCTCCACCCCCCTCCTGCACTCCAGCACCAGCGCCCCGATGACCTCGGCCCCCCAGCAGCCCCCCAACAGCAGCTCCCTCATGGCCTCCCTCTCCCCCCAGCAGCTCAACCCTAGCAATGCCCTCCTGGCTCCACCACAGGCCACCCCACCGCTCAGCGCTCCTGGGAGCAGCCTCATGGCTTCGGGGACAGGCATCCCTCCCGTCCTCACAGCACAGACTAACCCGTTTCTCAACCTGCAGGCTGATGGCAACACCCCAAAAGGAACGGTGCGTATGCTGCTAGCGCTCCCCTAAACCCCACTGAGCTCCTGGTGCCGGGCGCCGTGCGCCGCACTTAACGTGGGGGAAACCAGGGCACCACGTGGGCAGCAGAGCCGGGGCGCTCCGCTGGCTTTGTGCCCTTCTGAGTAGCCACTGTCACGTCCTGACAGACCTCCAAGGACTTCTGTAGGCCCAAGGCAGGGCTGTAGGTGGGCACAGAGGCTCCCAGGGCACCCTTGCTGAGACGTGGATGGGTAGAGTGCCCTTTGCAGTGCCAGCCCTCGTGATGGAACGCAGAGGTGACTGCGTGCTGAGACCCAGGGTTTAGAAAGGAGTCTTGCACCCGAGAGGAGAGGTCTGCAGCCTCTCTGTAAAGCATCCTTGTACTGCGACACCAGCATCGAGGGATGGGGCGATACTTTTGCGATTCCTCCATCCCTCCCCTGGCCTGTGTTTGTATCCAGAAGGTCCAGCCCTGGTTGGAGACGCTTAGGAGCAGGCAGAAGGGAAGCCTAGGGCTCCCTGGTGTGTCTGTTGCTCTCGGTGGAGCCTGAGAGGTGGCAGTGAGCAGGGCCAGCTTGGCAGCGCAGCAGAGCTCTCTGTTTCTGCCCCTCCGGTACTGATACCTGTCTCCTCTGCGTTTCTCTTTCTGTTTTGTTTTGTTTTGTTTTAAAGAACATGAATGAAAAGGGAGCTCCTCTTACCCAAGACAAGGGCTAAGCTCCCTCTCACCCTGAACAAACCAGCAGCCAACTCCTCTCAGCAAGGGGGAATGTGGCTTTCCACAGTCAGCAGCTTTGGTACTGTTAGAGCAATGAGCACAAGGCTTCCGAGAAGCATTTCCTGCTGCTGGGCAATGCCAAGAGGTGCTTTGGAAGACAGTCCGTCTCCGACCAAGCCCTGCTATCGGGAGGAGCAAAGGTGGGGGGCAGCTTTGCCGCGCTGCTCCGTGCCCCACGTGCTCAGAGTGAAGCCGTGTTTCCAGACAGAGTAGAGGAGAGTTAACACCGCGTGCCACCAACTGCTGTGAGCACAGGAGCGTGCTGTGTGTGTGCACTGAGAGCACGGAGCAATCCTCAGCCGAGAGCTTGGTGGAGGGGGGGGGCACCCCCTGCTGAGGACACTGGTGTGCAGTGCAGGGGGACGTGGAGGTGCCCTCGGAGGCAGCGCTGGATGGGACCCACCTGGGGATGCTGTGGTGGTACCTACGTGGTCTGCTCCTTCCCGCTGGGGAGGTGAAGAAGTTCCACAGCTGTGATTTCTCGCCTGCTGGGCCCTTGGGATGCTCTTGGGAGCCGTCACACGATGCCCTTTACACCTCAGCTGGATGCAGCCCCAGCCTGAAGGACACGGGTGGTGGAGCGATGGGTGAGGAGTGGTGTTTGGAGAGCTGCAAGCTGCTGCTGCTGTAAAGGACGCGGCCACGCAGCTGCTGGTGGGTCAGTGCTGTGCTTGGGGCATGAAAAGCACATTCCTGCTCCTCGTGCTGCCTCTCTTTCCTTCTAAGATGTCCAAAGCCCAACGTTCAGCTTGCAGAAAGGGGCTGTGGTCGGTGTTGCCCCATCTCAGCCATCTCCTGAAGGCGCGTTGAATCTGGCTCTTACATCCCAAGCCTCAGCTGGGCAACAGAACCGTGCGTGCATGGAAAAGACAGCCCCAGTCATGGTGCATCCTTTCCCCACCACAAATCGTTCCAGTCTGGCAAAAAAAACCAACCAACCAACCAAACCAACAGAAAACCAACCCCAAGGAACGGCGTTCTTCCATGTGTCTTAGGCACTGAGAGAGGGGATCTCCAAGCAGCAGGGCGTCATTGAGCTCCACGTTGGGGCATTGGAGCCTTTGTTCTCTTCCACCTTTTGACCTTAACTCCGTCTCACAGTCCAGAACCTCAGCGAGGAGCTTCTGCTTCTGAGCCCGGATGTCACAGATGGACGGCAGGGCAGGTGGGGCTGCTCTGAAGGTGGGGAGCATTACGTCAAATGTAGACGTGCTCCTCCTTTTCCTCTTCCCAGTTCTCCTGGGGGGGGAGGGAGGGGGGGGGCAGGGGTAAAAACTCCATCAAACAGAAGCTCCGAGGGTCTTAAAATGCAACACGTGGGCAGACCTGAATCTTTTTCAGCACATTCCCACTGCCCCTAACTGGTTTGCACTATTCGAATTTGTCAGCAGTGGGTCTGTGCTGATGGGAATAGAAGGCTGGTGGTGGGCAGATCTCATCCGTGGTGTCTTTCTTCTTCTTTTTTTTCTTCTTTTTTTGGTTTGGTTTGTTGCTTGCTGTTTGGGAAATGATCGCCCCGAGGGTTGGATAAAGCTAAAGACCAGAGGGAAAAGCTCCATTCTGATCTGCCGTTCTGTGAACTGGGCAGCACGCAGCCGTCTGCTCGGAAATACGTTGTACACCGTTTGGATTCCAATTCTTTAAATGCAGAAAAGCTGACGTTTTAACAAGGTTAGGAAGCAATCTGAAGGATGGGGATGGCAGCTAACAAGGAAAAATCGAACCCGAGGACAAAAAAGCTCCCCCTCCTCGTGGTCCCTGCAGCGCAGCCCCAGCTCCGAGCACCTCCTCCCCGTTGCATCCATTGGGGCTGGGGATCCGCCAGCAGCTCTGAGCTCTGCCTGCTGCTGCTGTGCTCACCTGGGGCTCTGATTCAATTCTGACGATGCTTCTTTTTCTTTTTCTTTTTTGTTTTTGTTTTTTTTTTTCACTGGGAGGCCCCTATGGGGAGGTGCCACCTGCTGAACCGCTTCCCCGGGCGCATGCAGGCTGCTGCAGAGCGGAGCCACGTCCCAGCTCTGCGGGGAAAGACCCGGGAGCAGAAGGGGAGCAGGGAAGGAAAGAGCTCGGTGGGTTCCAACGGCGTGGCTCTGATCAGTAAATCAAAGCCCTGCTTGGATCCGTGGCTCAGCACCCCGACGCTGAGCGCCAGCGGGAAGCCGTGGGGGTCAGGAGAGGCTCGTAGGGCAGGTGAGAGCCCCGCAGATAAAGCACTTACACATTCCTCGGGGCTCTTGCTGAGGTGCCAGCCCCTCTCAAGGCCCCTCCTGCACCCTGAGGTCCCTCTGGGCAACGAGGGGGGGGTGAGCAGCGAGCACCCGTATGGCTGTGAAGAGAGGAAGAGGAGGAGGAAGGAAAAGAAAAGCTAAAGATGAGCTGTGTTTCAGTTGCACTGGGGTACGTTTCTTTACCCATTTTGATGCTAATGTCTCATTTAGTACGTTGCATGTGTCTTTCTTTTGTTTTGTTCTGTTTCGGTTTTGTTTTTTTTTTTTTTTTAATTAAATAAAAGAGGAAAAATGTGTATATTTTTGGCAATTTAAGGTAATGTAGCTAAGATATATTTTTTTCACGCTGCTTGACTGTTCTTTATTATAATAAATAATATTAATATGAACGTGGGAGGCGTCGTTAATGCACCTGAGGGGGTGCAGCTGCTTACAGCCCCAGCTCGCCAAAGCTGGAAGGGTCTCAGGCTCGGTCCGTGGGGACACAGCAACACTTTGGGGGTGGCACAAAAGCTCTCGTTGCCCCGTTTGTCTGCAGAGCTCCTGCACAGCACGCAGCACCCCGTGCAGGGGGCGAGAAGGGCTTTGCAGTTGTGCAAGGACACCGAAGCGGGGCTCCTCCAGTGCAGCAGTCCTTGCAGCCCAGGTGAGCGGCTTGCATTGCTCTGCTGCTTGCCGGTGCCATCAGCGTTGCAATGCAGTTGCTTGAAAGGGTGAAGCAGCAGCTTTCCAGCAGCAGGCCTGAATGCACAGCTCACAGTTGTCCTCTTGTCTCCTGTTTTCCAGGCAGGAAAGTTGGAGGGACAGCAAGGAGGTTTGGGAACAGCTGGAGAAGGGAAAGGGAAGGGAGAGATGGGATAGGAAAAGGAAAAGAAAAGGGAAGGGGGAGGAGAAAAGGGAAAGAAAAGGAAAAGAAGAAAAAGAAGAAAATGGGGGAAAAATGGGGGGGAAAAAAAAGATGAAAGACATGAAAAAGAAAAGAAAAAGAAGAAAGGAAAAAAAAGGGGGGGGGAAGAAAAAAGATGAAGAAGAAAAAAAATGGGGAAAAAGAAGAGGGGAAAAAAAAAAAGAAAAAAGAAGAGGAAAAAAGGGTGGGGGAAGGAAAAAAAAAAAAGATGAAAAAATGAAATAAAAAGAAGAAAAGGAAAAAAAGATGAAAAAAGAAAAGAAATTAAAACAAATAAATAAATAAATGGGAAAAAGAAATAAAGGGAAAAAAAAAAGAAATAAAGGGAAAAAGAGAAAGGAAAAAGGAAAAGAAAAGAAAGAAAAAGATAAAAAAGAAAAAAAAAGGGGGGAAAAAGGAAGAAGAGGAAAAGAAGGAAAAAAGAGAAAAAAAAAAGAAGGGAAAAAAAGAGAAAAAAAAGAGAAGGGAAATAAAGAGAAAAAAAAAAGGGAAAAAAGAGGGAAAAATAAGGGGTAAAAAGAGAGAAAAAGAAGGGAAAAAAAGAGAGAAGAAGGAGGAAAAAAGGAGAGAAAAAGGAGAGGAGGAGGCGGGGCGGCCGCTGTGACGCGGCAGATCCGAAGTTCCGGCCGTTCCGGGCGCTGCGGGATGGCGGCGGTGCGGCGCGGGGCGGCCGCGTTGGCGGCCCGGCTGAGGGCTGCGCTCTTCCCCCGCATCGCGTTTCCGTACCGCGTGGAGCTGAAGCAGGGAAAGAAATACGCGTGGTGTTCGTGCGGGCACAGCAGGGCGCAGGTGTGCTGCCGCGGGCCGGGCCGGAGGGGTTGCGGGATGGGTGCGGGGTCCCGCAGTTTTCCTCTCGCAGAACCGCGGCTTTTTTTTGCTTCTCAGCCGTTCTGCGACGGCACGCACCGCACCTCGGCTCCGGACAGCGTTCCGCTGCGTTTCACGGCGGAGGCGGACGAGAAAGTGTGGCTGTGCGGCTGCAAACGGACCCGCAGCCCCCCTCGGTGCGACGGCAGCCACCTACGGCTGTGGGAGGCGGGGAGAGGAGCCCGGCGCTGAGCTCCGTTGCTGGACTCCCTCCTCACCTCCGTGACCGCAACCCGGCCGGGCACCCCGTAGGGACGCAGCCCCTGTGATTGCGGTGGGTCCCGGGGTCTGCGTGGGGCTGAGCGGCATTTATTGCGCTTCCTGAGCTGGGGCGTAATGCGAATGTTTGCTTGATAACTGTATGGGATGTTGCAAATATACGATGGGATGTGACGGCAGGTGGGATGCGAGCACACGGAGCTGCGTGGTTTGGAGCGCAGAGGGGAAAAAACACACGCGGGGGGAGGGCAGGGGGCGGGGGGTCCTGCAGCATCGCGGTGCAGGAGTGGGGGCTGCAGTGAAACCCCAGGAGCAGCGCTTGAAGAAAGCAATCCTAAAGCAAACCGTGAGCCCACCGACGCACCCCAGAGCCCGGAGAGCGGGGGTGAGAGGCAGCCCGGGCTGAAAGGAACTGCGGTTTGTGTTTGGTCTGTATCCAACAATCCAACACGGAGATGGGAAGTGAATCATCCAACTGGGGAGCCGGGGGGAAAGGATGTGTGGGGCAGCGCCCGGCTCGCACAACTGCAGCGTGAAACAACGAAACCGAAACTATTTGAAAGCACCCAAGCTCCCCTCTGCGCCTCACCTGCACTCTAAATCCACCCGTAAAACACGCGTGTACAATCCGCACCTCCCTCTGTACACGTCTCTCTTTATAGATGCACATATATATAATATATAGAGCTATACAAAACCAACGCGGCCGTCCCCCCCCTCCCCCCGTTAGGTCAGCGCGGACCCCGCGGGGCCGTGAGCCGCGGCTTTGCGGCAGCGGGAGGAGGGCAAAGGGGGGCAGTTCGAAGCGCCGTGGGGAGCGGCGGCGGCTGTGGGGCTGGGAGAGCCGTGGGGCGGAGTGCCGGGGCTGGGAAGGGAGGGCGGAGTGCGGGGCAGCGTGGCGGGGCTGTGCGCTTTGTCGCTGAGCGATTCGCATTCGGAGGCGCCGCTGGTGTTGGTGCACTCGGAGGTGGGCGGCTGAGGCAGCTTCAGGCGCTTGCAGGTCGGCTGGACGCGGTATTTGAGAGGCAGAGGGCCGTTCTGCGGGGGGAGATGGGCAGAGCGTTGCACCCTGTGCGCCCCGCACACCCCGTGCTCCATACAACCTGCACCCCGTGCACTTTGGACACCCTGTGCTCCACGTGCCCTGCACGCCTTGCTGCACTCTGTGCTCCTTGCACTCTACACACCCTAAACACCCTGCACCCCGTGCATCCCATGCACCTCATGTCCTGTGTCCCCTGTGCACCGTGCACCTCCTGCACCCCCTGCACCCTGTGCACCCCGTGCTCCTTGCATCTTGTGCACCCCCCTGCACCCCATGCACCTCATGTTCTATGCCCCCTGTGCACCGTGCACCCCACACCCCACGCATCCCATGCACCCTGCATCTCATGCACCCCATGACCTTTGCACCCGACATCCCATGCACCCCACGTCCTGTGCACCTCACATCTGATGCCCTCTGTGCACCATCCAGCCTGTGCACCCCCTGCACACCCCATACTCTGTGCCCCACGCACCCCACATCCCATGCGCTGTGCACCCCGTAGCCCACGCACCCCGCATCCCCCTCCTCACCCTCCTCCAAGGGTAGATGTAGGCGACGTCCATCAGTGTGTAATACTCCCTCAGGGGCTCATCTCCATAGAGGACCTCCACCTGGTGCCAAGGACAGCATCAGGGGGGCGGCGGAACGGGCAAAGCCGGGGGCGGGGAGGAGGGGACCGCAGGGTGCTCACCTGGTACTTGCTGGGCACGTCCATCTTATTGCGCAGGAACTTGGCCAGGTGCATCACGGTCATGGCCGCGGGGCAGCGCAGGAACCGCACCGCGTTCCTCTGGGGGATGAATGCTGCTGAGCCCCCCCTGCAGCCGGGGCAGCCCCCCATCCCCTCCCCGGTGTGTCCCCGTTGCCCCTCCTCCCGCCTCACCTTCTCCTTCTCCAGATCCCCATTCTCGATGGTCCCTTTTTTCTCTTCTCTGGGGGGGGCAGGAAAACAAAGAGGGGACAAAGCTGAAGGAAAAAGCAGCCCCCGTGGGAACCTTCCGGGGTGGGCACTGGGGGGGGGGACACCTCGGGCCTCTCGCCGAGCTCCATGCACGCAGCGCTGCATCTCCAACACCGAGCGCTGCTGCTGGGGCTGTGGGGCTGAGCCCTGCGATGGGCCCTGGATGCTCCCCGCCCCACATCCCCTTCCCGACCCCCACCCCGCGTCCTCGCCCAGCGCTACCTGGCTCCTTCGTAGAACTCAATGGACAGACTGACGATGCCGTCCTCCGTCGGCTGCGTCCCGTCGCGCTGCGGAACCTCCCCGCGGTCCTCGTTGGAGCCGTTGGACACTGGTGGGCATGGGGGGGAAAAGGGGAGGGGTCTGAGCCGGGGGTCGCGTAGGTGGGGGGAAGGGGACCCCATGGGCCGGCACTCACCCTCGGCCACGGGGTACGCGGCGTAAAAGTCGCGGCGACGCTTCATCTCATCTGTAAGAGAGGGGGATGAAAGGAGAGGAGGACGGGGGGAGGGGAGGGCACGGCCGGGGGTCCCACAGCACCAACCCGCACCTGTGAACAGTCCCGGGACCAATTTGTACACCACGTCCTGCAGCGTTCTGTCTGACCTGAGGGGAAGAGAAACGAGAAACGGCGCTGGGGGCGGCACTTCTCCCCTTATCCCACCTCCCCCCATCCCATCCCACCTGACCTCATCTCCCCATACCTCTCCCACATCCCCCCTTCCCCTTCCACCCCCTTCCCGCCCCGGCCGTGGGGGTCAACCAGCGAGATATCCCAGCACACCGCTCACTCACCTGATGCTGAGGAGGGGTCTGGTTTTGTGCACCTGGGCGTCGCACATGGGGCAGTACTTATTGGCCTCCAGGTAACGCACGATGCAGGTTTTGCAGACTGCGGGGAGAGACGCAGCGCCCCATTGAGCCGGGCAGCACCCCGCATCCTCCCCCCTCCCCCCCCATCATCATCATCATCATCATCATCCCCCCATCCCCCCTCTCCGCTCCACGACAACCGCACGGCGTGGGGCACCCGCCCCCACTCACACGAGTGCAGGCACTCCACGATGGTGGCGGCGTCGATGAAATACCCCCCGCACAGCGCGCACATCAGGTGCGGGTTCAGCTCGGTGATCTTTATCCGGGTGGTCCTGTGCATGTTGCAACAGCTCCGCCCTGGTTGGGGGGGAAGGGGGAGGGACGACACGATCGGTGCCAAACCGGGACCCTTCTACCTCCCCGGGGCCGCACGGTGGGCAGCGCCCGCACCCCCCACGCACTGCCCCGCACAGCCCCACGCACCCCCCCCCCCCCGTTCTCCCTCCTCCCCGGCTATATCCCCAGCGCCCCTCTGCCTGCAGCCGCCCGGGCTGCACACGCACACGTGCACACACACACACAGGAGTGCACGAGTGTGCTTTGGTTTTGTTAGATGGAAGAGGCACTTCAGCCTCCATTCGCCTCTCTCGGTTTCTATAGAAACTCTGGAGCCTGCAGCTGGGCACTGTGGGCACCTGTGTGCAACGGGTGTGCAAGGGGTGTGCAAGGGGTGTGCACGGATGAGTTTGCACAGCAGGGCGTGCACAAAGTGGTGTGCATTGAGGGGTGGGTGTGCACGGACGGGTGGGCACAGAGAGGTGTGCACGGATGGGTGTGAGCAGACGGATGCCCCCCAGCACCACAAGCGTTGCCCGCTCCATCCGCGCCGCCTTCACGGTGGGACGGCGCAGCCACGGCCCGAAATCACCGCAGTTTTACGGTTTCCATGGCAACCCCCCACTCCGAGCAGCCCAGAGCTGCGCCACGCAAAGGGCGAGGATGCGGGCAGCAAAGCGCTGCGCTCGTGGAAAGCAGAGCGGGGTGCGCACGGGGGGGG